TACTACTACTACTACTACTACTACTACTACTACTACTACTACTACTACTACTACTACTACTACTACTACTACTACTACTACTACTACTACTACTATTATTATTATTAACATTATCATTATTATTATTATTATTATAGTAGACGATATTCGTTGGTACCCTCCGCCCAAAGCCAAGAAGTCTCATGTCCTAGTCCGGACACAATGGGACGGGAGAGGTCCACTCACTTGGTTGACTCGATGAGATCTCAATCTTAGAGGGCTTGGATAAGGAGGACGACTGGTCACATCAGTTGCCGGTATGCTTCCTGCTTGCCTACTCTTTCCATACGTGTTACACGCCGGTTTTGTCCTGATAAGGTCGGTCAATTGAGAACGTTGGACTTGAAGTGCAGAAAGTAGACAAAGTGGTTGGTTGCTAAGGTAGGAACTTGAAGACCCCAGATCCCGGCTAGCGGCTGGTGAGTCAATATTCCTGAAATGATAGTAGTATTACAGTATTTGATCCGAGTGGCTCACTCACAATATCGATCATTACCTGGGCGGATACTTTCCAATCAAGGCCTGGGAGTTGGGGCTCGTTCGCCGTTGACAGATCCATCGCGACGGTCTGGTACCACCCGGGCGAGCCCATCAGACTTAGTCATTGGGTGGGTGGGAACACGGCACCGTTTGGTTCTCGGAAATTTACATTTTGTCAATTGAGTAGGAGGAACCGAGCGAGGCGGCAACTTAGAAAGCAAGAAACAAGGGATCACACTAAATATGACGGATGACAGCCTCAAAGCCTGAATCGGAGAATTATCTGAACCTATCTCATGGAGAGGTAGGGTTTATCGCCAGTGCTTTGTTTGATTAGGTTGAAAGTTGACAGAACCCTATTTTCGTCAGTACAGTGCTCCACTGCTACATCTACTTTACACACATACTGGTTGGTAGTCATTACTCACTATTTATCACGAGTTAACTACTACGTATGTCCTCCTTTGTACGGAGTAGAGTAGTAAATATATAATCAGAATTATTAGACCTTCCGCCTGCACTTTTCCTACAGCAGAGACTGTTGACTCCGTTTCGGCCGAGGCTCTGGGAGACTAGTCGACTTGACGCCGTCGTTGTTACGCATCCTCCCCATTATTGCCCATATCCGCCCTTTGGTTGGAATGGAGCTCCTCAGACCATTTCCACCTCCCGGTTTAGGACGATGGCGTTCTCCACAAGGAGGAACCATGTTCTCTGGCTGTCTTGTTATTACTGCTATTGTTCATCTTGTTATTTCGAATTTGGGATAACTCTCTGGTTAGCTCGCAGTCCTTCTTCGCCCTTATATTACTTACTTCATTTAGTTGTTATTTCTTTTTATTTCATCTTATTTGTTTTTTCATTTTGAGGGGGGTTTTTTTTTTTTTTTTCTTTCTCCTCGAATTTTCCTTTCCCTGAATCACCCATCCATCCCTTCTGCTTTGCCTTCCCTGGTCTATGCACCACTCACTCCATGTGTGGTCATGTACGGAGAAAGAACTTTCACTCAAAGTCTCATAACAGGATTTCCAACTGTCCAACACTAAGCCTTTGTGGCTTGGACTGTTCGTCACTCATATTGCCTTCGATGTTACCACCCTGTCCTTCCTGGTTCATCCTATCATCGCATACATGTCTAGTAACGCGATACTAGTCTATCGCAGCTAAAGGAAGCAGAGATCGGTGGATATCCCGCATGTCCCGCCCGCGGCCTTGCCTTCTTCTTTCCCAAGTTCTCGCAACGGAAGATAGTGGGTACGAACTCCAGCAGCGAAGGGCCCTGAGAAGTTGTACTTATGGGCTACAGTCGTAGTTCGAATGGGTTTTTGTTTCACCGTCTAGACAATCACCTCACCAACAAACCAAGTCACTATAATAATAACCAAGACCGAGGCTAGGCTCGAACGCTCCCGGCGAGGTTTGACCGCCAGGAAAGCATTCCATTCCAGTATAGTCTAGTATCCGCGGGTGGAACCGTTATTCTTATGATCGTTCCCTTTTCTTTTTGTATTGAATCAATTTCATGGGTCCTCTGTTTCTCTCTCTCTCTCTTTCTCCCCCCCCTTCTATCTGTCTTCCCGGTTTGGTAGTTTACTGCCAATACAAGTATCAGGAGATTATTGAATCCACCGAGGTACTCTCTCGACAACCTCATGTTCATAGTACACTTTTAGAGGTGATGAATGAGGAAACCCTAGGAACATTATTGGGTAGTATGTACGTACATCAACTACAAGGCATGGTACCCGGCTGAAGTTCGTTTCACTGACAATCTCGTAGTCCAGATGAAATCGCAATGAAGTCAGTCAGTCAAAATGATCCTTCTACTATCGACCAGTGTAGTGAGCCACAAGGCTGGTATTGATTCTAACCTGTATACGGAGTAGATAGTTATTCTGTACTAAAATCTAGTGAAGTGACTTTGCTGGGAAATGAAAAATAACCATCTACCGAATACGAGTAAATCAAAGTACTGTGTAGGATACCTAATTAATCTCAACGGTCAATCCATGCCTACCTAATCATATTAATGTGCTTCATTTATTAAACGGCTTCCCGAAAAAAAAAACAACTCCCCCTCCCCCCCACCACAGGGCCCTGGCCTCGCCTCTTCAATTTTAGCCTCTGTCTCTTGTTCCCCATACCCATTGCCTGCTACCTTAGTATTAGCTACCACCAGCACTTTGCTATTCTATTACTGTTGAGCTTTTCATTTGCTGTCTCTTCCATCAGCTGTCAATGCCGATGATCTCGTTTCTTATGCATGCCCAGGCGTTTCCACTGTCGTGTCTGGCCTATTTCCCTTTCCTCTTGTCTGTCACTCCTGGTCTTCACGATTGATTTCAATGACTTTCATCTCCTGCCTCTGTCGTTTCTTCTTTCTTGCCGCTTGTATACCTTGTGCCTAGCCATCACCTTCTCACTACCACATTTGTTGGTCTACCTGCCAGCCTGGCACACCTTCAGAAGGCTTTCCAAACGCCATTTGACATATAAAGTCACCGTCTGCTATCCCCGTCCCCAAACCACTTTTCCATCCTGCCCTTCTTGTTTTGCAGCCTCTCTTCGTCCACGGCTCACTTGTTGGACTGGTTCCTACCTGTCAGCTTCCTATATTGCGACTATCTTGGAAGCACCCGGGGTGCCACGAGCTTTCGCTCCTCGCACTGAAGCTTTCTGGCTCCTCTGAACCGTCGCTATCCTCGAGGCTCAGAAAACAACACAGACGTATCCTTGGATTGAGCTTATCCACCTTGTTCGAGGTCGTTCTTCTACATTCGCTGGAAATTTCACATCGCGTACGGTAACCCGTGGGAGTGTCAAAACAGCTCCCATTGTTTTGCCCCCTCTTCCGGCCTTGACTGCTCCTCTAAGCCATACTAGCAGCAAGTTCTTTACCCAAGAGCAGCAATCCGTCGGTATTAATCGCGCATATGATTGCGTTACAAAACCAGGCCATCTTACCCTCCGCCAAAGTGGATATCTCACTGTTACTGAAACCCCAAGATGAAGAAGAGACCGCCTCGGTGACTAGCGCACCCACATATGCAACGAACACGATATCTCAAGCTTCATTGGTCCCGTCTATGCCCGTGGCGATACCATCTTCTATTCATTCAGCAACGGCCGTCCAGCCGCTCACCAAAGTTCCCTCCTCGGTCCCTGTCAAGCGTCTTCAACCAGCACATACGGCGGAGTCCCCTGCCAAGAAGCAGTCAAAATGGTCTCCCGAGGAAGATGCTCTTATCATCGAATTGCGAGGCAGTGGTATGAAATGGGAAGATATCAGCAAGCGCCTTCCGGGGCGAAGTGCTATCAGTTGCCGTCTTCACTATCAGAATTATCTGGAACGCAGAAGTGAATGGGACGAGGATAAGAAAAACAAGCTTGCGCGACTATATGAAAGGTATGCTATTGTTGCCTGAAGCCATCCTCCAGATTCGTCAACGTGAGTATGGTGGGTTCTGGTTGGCTGACTCAATCACAGGTTCAAGGCCGAGATGTGGTCGAAGGTCGCAGAGGAAATGGCGATTCCATGGCGGGCAGCGGAAGCCATGCATTGGCAACTGGGAGAGCAGGAGATGGCTCGTCGTGCCGGTGTTGTTCCTTTCTCGCTGTCAAGCACTGCAATCGATCCACCTGCGCCCAGAGCACGCAGAGCCAGCACATCTTTGTCTCGGCCGAGGAAAGGATCGAGTTCGCGTTCGATACACCATCCCCCGCAGCTTCCATCCGTTGAGGAACTTACTGCTGGAGTACCCGCATTTGCGCCGCCTCCGCCTTTTTTGCCACCCCGCGAAGCATTTAGGATAAGCCGCCCTTTGGATCTGGGTGGTAGTCAAGGCGGCCCATTCGGACCGAATCTCGGTCTTCCTCCTCGAACCCTTCCCTAGGCAGGCCGGGGGAACGGTGACGATAACTATGTCTATTGGTTTTCTCCATTGCGTCGTTACGAATTGCATAGCGCTGGTTGGAGGTATTGGTCGTTTCAAGGGAAGGTTTATCATAGATGTTCATCTTCGATATGTGCATAGGTGGACTTCGCATTGCCAATGCATCAGAGTTGCATTCCAGTGTGGTTTTGATTTGGCAGGGGAAAAGAGCAATAAAGGGTTGTTCATCATGGGGAACGGCCCTCGCTGGCTTCATCGCATGCCATGCCATGAGAATGTGATACGGCATCATCTTTGGGGTTGGACCTCTGAATAGTCCACGCACCCTCTGCGCACATCCTATGATGACTTGGGACCTGGCCGCATCGCAATTGCCCACCAATTATCCTTTTCATACCCCGAATCCAGAACATAGCCACCTGCGTCACTGATGTCCTGCTCTAGTTCTGAGGCTTGGTAAAGGTGATAGTATCGGTGGAACACTTGGGGCTCACTGCCAGCAGACGCAGTCCCTTTCATGACCCAGGGAACCATTCTGTCCTGTTGATCGCCTTTGTCCCAACCACGACGACTATCTTTCTGCTCTAGAGCCCAGACATAGATGAGAGCTTTTCCGCCCGGCACTGTGTCGGAGGCAGGCTTTAGGGTCCGCAATATCTCACGGATAGCACCGACTCTTCGTTCTGGAGTAGACAAGTGATGAATCACTGCGATCGAAATGGCGAAATCAAAGGAAGAATTGGGGTGTGGAAGGCTGAGGATGTCGGCGACTACGGTCGAATGTGGCTGGTGAGCTTGGGCAATGCGGGCAAGGTTCACAGACCTGGTATACGGCGGATCAGTTTTGAGACCCAGCAGGATATGAGTATTTATGATCATCCCTGTTGAGATTTGGGATCATTCTTTGTGTGAGAGGCATGGCTGGTATGATCATGGAAAGGTGAGGGGTCAGGAAGAGGGGCAGCAGGGATTAGTCACAAGTATATAAAGATGAAAAACATGATATAACATACCGATCTGAAGCTACAATAAAAACATCCTTATTTACACTCAGGTTCTTTCCATTGCCGCACCCCACATCTAAGCCAATTGACCCGGGCCTCAAGTCAGTAAGGAATTGTTTCACAATAGGCCAGGGCTGACATGGCCACAGTTAGTGACGAACATACATTGGGACGTGGGGTTGAAAGAGGCCGAGGGAGGGGGGGGTGAAGAGAAATAAGAAAATACCTTGTAGCGGGTAGATGAAAAATGATGTGCAATCTGTTGGTATACTTGATGCACATTCTCTTCTTCATAGGCGTCTTCTTCTTGCTGGCTAGGGACAAGGGTATTGGAAGCCATCATGGTCTTCGAGACGAAGGCAGAGAATATGGTGATGGTGGAATTGATAACACTTCTACAAGAAGACCACTCAACCAATGTGGTGTGATGATTTTTTGGGAGCAAAAAATGGATGTCCAAGTGAGAAGAAGAAAATACCCGAGATGTTAAGCAACTTTTTCAATGAATAAATGAATCACAATAAGAGATTTCCCGAGAAGACAACTTCCAGCTACCTCAGCATGTATCGTTGTGATTATCCATTACCGTATAGTAACTTATTCATTCTTGTTTCAGCTTAATTTACAGTAATGGGTTTGTTCTGACTAACCATACTAGGCTACTAAGTTGGTCAGGTGATAGTGACGAATATTTACACAGTACATGGTTAGAGACACATGTTAAGTGGGTGAACTACTTCCAAGTCATGCAACAGCATTGGCACAGCCAAGAAATACGACGAGTAACTGAACCGAGTAGTAGGAAGTATCCCTATCACTGGAACCCAGCTTTGAGTCTTGAACTGGCAGCTTACTTGAAGTGTTGATTAAGCATGTGAGTATCAAGCTAACCAGAAATGGCGTCACTTAAACTGTCCCGTCTCTACCTCTTCAAGGTTGCTCCCTCAACATGCCCGCTTGCAAAAGTGTCTACCCCAATAATTGCTTGCATGTCTATATTATATGTATGTCCTTGTATGACAGCATTGCCTTCATACTTATTGGGAGTAATTTGGGCCATACAGGTGCATTGCAAATCTCATCTCTTTCCTTCCCTTTCCCCCTCTCCGGTCCTCGGCCATCAAAAAGGAATCAGAATCAACCCACCTTAAGATTCTTGTGGTTCCACATTCACTTTCTGTCATATCACTTGTCAACTAACATACGGCGCAGACTTGATCTATTGTCTAGTCCACGGACTCTAAGTACTATCGGCCCAGGAGAAAAGAACAACACGGCTATTGAAGTTATTCCGCCAAGCTGCGCAAACCAGCGGTCATGGCTTTCCAACCCACGCCTGCGGATATTTCTGTTGTCATTACTACGCCTGGCACAGGCTCCAGCGCCGAGCCACGCTTCTTGACGGAGCGCCGAGTCACTCCAACATGGACTGTCATGCAGCTGAAGACGAAGCTCGAGACCATGACTGGTGTTCCGCCCGGCTGCCAGCGTCTTCGCCTTAGGTCACCTGGGCGCCCCGATCAGTGGGTCGAAGATGACAATAGTATTATCGGTGATTGGGGGCTGATGAGAGGCTGCGAAATAGAGGTAAGATATACTTCTTGCATCCACTCTACAGGTTGATATGGGCTCTTATGAATGAGCACGCCAATCGTCCGCCATCCTCATTGCAAGCATTCTCACCTGCTTCCCCTCTATGCCTCCTTTCCACCTCTCAATTGCACATTGTTTGAGAACCAACGACTGGGACACTTTTGAGGGCACCCCGAACTTGCTGCATACACAGTCGTTCTCTTTGAATTATCTATTGATGAGCGCATTCGTTACAAAGGTCCATGATTCCCGCCCTCAGGCTTCACGGCTTAACCTCACAGACCTGTCGTCCGTCGAGAAGTATATACTGCCGACATCCACATACGAAGCACTCTCGAATTCTGTTTTGGCGTGGAAAAAGAATCAGAAGCTTGGTCGCTTCGATCCCAATACTGTAAGACCCGAAGAAGCGATGCGCAGCCAAGCTTTGAAAGACGTTGGAGAGGTTGAACAAAGAGGTGAGGACAATGAGAACCACAAGAAAGCAAGCCGTCTTTCCTTGCCGACTTCGAAATATAACATAAATCACTGATCAAAGCGTTCGTGGTAGGCATTGTCGTTAACAACCGAGCCATTGTCCTTCCCTCGTCTCCGCCACATGTTCGACGCGGCACGATTCGCTTTGTTGGCCCAGTTCCGACAATCCCCTTCCCTGGTGTGGATCTTGAACTAGTAGAAATCGACTCCGCAGATCTTCCAGTCTGGGTAGGAATTGAGCTCGACGAGCCATTGGGTAAGAACGACGGGAGTGTTGGCGGAAAGAGATACTTTGTATGCCCGAATAAGACAGGTGTCTTTGTCAAACCTGAGAAAGTGGAAGTAGGAGACTTCCCGCCCTTGGGTTTGGATGATTTGGATGCCGAAATGGAGGAGATTTAACAGACGGTAAATTGGCATGGCCACTACATGAAACAACCCTGCACTAACTGATACATAAGACTCCAATGAAGCTTGTAATCGCAGCTTAATTCTTCTGGACTCACACGCCCCAGCGCCAAAGAAATGGAATATGTGGTGACGAACTATATCCTTATCATCCCAGCAATTAAGTGACATACTTGCTAATTCAGAAGCCAACACTCCGGTGAAAAGGCGAGCAAAGCATAGCGCGGATAGGCGAGGAGTTGAACGGAGCAATCCTCAAGAGGTGAAGTAGAATGGTCATAGCACGCAGGTGACTCATTTCGCCTTGCGCCCGGGCCCGGTTTTCTGCTTGCCCCTGGGCCTACCTTTCCCTGTAGTCGTGGGGCGCCCTGTCGGTGTGCTCGAGTCAGCTTCCATGATACCGGCCTTTGTCGCAGAGCCAGGGGCAGAGTCGTCATTTTCAGGTAGACAGCCTTGTGTGAAAAATAACCGTGCATCCTTGTTGTGCGTATTCGCAAAGCTGTAATAATTGCCTAAGAAGTGTGTCAGTTTCTGATGGAAATTGGACGCAGTCTAGAAGCAACCGACCTCTGGGGACTTGAAATACACAGCCTTTGCCCGCACTGAACCGTACCCCTGAGACATCTACCTGCACGCGTCCATTGCAAATGTAGAAAACCATATGCATTTTCTTAGAGTTTTTGGGCTTTTTGACTCCGCCAGGCGGCAACTCAACGATCCCGGAACCCATGAAGGGAGAACTGATGAGTTTAGCGAATCGCCACGACGAGTCCTTGACACTTTTGGTCTCCATGCCAGATGGGGCATATGCGAGATCTACGTGTAGAGTCAGTTGTTGTTGAACCAGACAAGACTGAAGAGTGCAGTGAACCCACCAACGATGTCCGACTCTGCCGCCGTCTGAGATTCTGAATCCCACATTCTGACATAACCATGCAGTATTCCACCTTTCTTTTCCCACGGGTCTAAATAAGCCGCATCCTCATCAGAGTCTTCATCTCTACTCTGTTTCGCTCGAGACTTTTTCAAAGGGCGGCGTTTGCCTGAGTGGGATTGTTCTGGCTCAAGCTCTTCTGTGCGAATGATCTCCTTAATGGTTGACAATGGAAATCTTTGACCTTCTACAGCCTCGCCGTCACCGTAAACACATCGCTCGTTTCTCCAGTAAGCGAGTGGTCTTACTGAGACGCGGCCCGATCGGGTATGCGTAGCAGTGTCGTCTGACGGGGCTTCGCGCTTCAACACATACAAGCTCCGGCCCTTCAACGGCCCCGTGCGATCAATATAGTTCTCCACCACTTTATCCAGCTCAGCGTCGCCAATTGAACTCGATCTTCGATTAGTCTGAGCATTCAATCTAGGTTTCTTTATCGGTCTCTGCTCAGTGAGATCATGAGCTGTGCTGTGTTGAGACTTGGCGGGCCTGCCAGGGCGCTTGCGCTTCTGTGCGGCATCTGCTTGTACTATATCAGAAAGATCACTAGCGTCCGGAATGTGCAATCTCTGTCTTGTGCCATCCACGTTCGCCATCAAGGAAGCTTTAGGTCGACCTTTCGTACGTGCTTTGGGAGCAAGAATGAATGGGGACTCGGGGCGTGCCTCATCCAAACTCAAGTCGTCTATAGGGTCCTGCGTCAGAACGTCGTCGTCGGCAGGGATGCTTTCTACTGCATCATGTTCCTGTTCAAGCGCATCCGCATTTTCGTTACCACTTGACTGAATGCTAGTATCGCTATCAGAGTAGCCTTGATTTATGAGCTGTTGGGCGACCATATCAGTCTTCTTGCTAATGCGCGCGCTGTGTAGGTGGTTCATAGACGGTGTCGCGTTCACGGAACGATTGGTCAGAGGGGAGATGTCACGCCATGAGTCGCCTTTTGCGATTCCCAACCCCTTTCCATCGGAAGGACTGGAGGAGAGGTGATTGTGCTGTGGACTCTGTGACGACCGCAGACCGGGCGTTCGCCGTGGGGATCCTGTGAGCCCAGTTTTCATAGGCGATCGTGCGATAGGGGGGGGTAGATAAGAGCCACGTCTGCTGTTTAAATAGTCCGCAGGGCCAGGTCCAGTTCCTACATGGACAAGTTCCTCACGGTCAGCATGCTTGATGTAGGTGTATCAAGAGTCTACAAACCCTCATCCATGGACATGCCATCTGAGCCGACTGAAGCTTCATTCCGGATGCCAAACCCATTGTCTCTCGTCGGGGAGCTTTCGGGGGAGGAGAATATGCCATCGACTTCTTCCATGCCGAATTCATCACGCCTTCCTTCCTTGAGGATTATTCCTGTGCGCCTGTACCGCTCGCTCACATCAGCCATTAAAGCAGGAGGCAAGTCAAAGTGATAGCTAACGGAGTAGAGAAAGGGGCAATGGGAGGCAAGCTTATTTCCAAGGTGCATATCTACCTTCCGGCTTTGCCAACGTTGGCGTAATCATAGTCGCGAGCTTTCGAGGGCCCCCGGGGAGCCATCACTGCGGAGCTTCGGAGCTGTATGCGGCGCTGTATGCGGCTAGAATAAGAACTGTTGCAGGATGAGAAGAATCCACGTCGATAGCTTCGGATGCGTACTTCGTGGTTGAGATTTACGCGGCACGAAACTCCTTGAGTACTTGGAATGGGGCAACTCAGTTAAAAGATATTGCACTCTCGAGCGCGACAAGTCGTCCAAGTCGAAATGGCACTGACTGCTACGGTGGGGAGTTTGGAATTCATGGAGGCGGCGGCGAAGGTGTGACACGCGCTAGTCCTGAACTGTTTGGGACGCGTCCCCATGTTGCCGGTTGATAGATATTCGGGCTTCCTAGGATACCACAGCAGCTCTTTCAATTTCATTCTCTTCTTTCATTTCTTCATTCATTCATCCATTCAATCTTTCTTTCTTGCATCGGCTAGTCAGTCCTTTGACTTTAGTGTGCTCTTAATGCTTCCTTAAATTGTCTCATCTAAGACCCGCGTCGCCTGGAATTGACTAACACCCCAGAACACAGAAGATGGGGGAATCCACTCAGGATGATGTCTGCGACCTATCTCCAAAAGCTTCCTCAACTTCGGCCTTCACAGCTTCCTTTATACCCCCCAGCATAGATCATACTAAGATGCTATTTGGCGACTCCTACTCCTACTTCTCACCACGCCCACTCTTCCTCGCTTCATCCAACTCGACTACCGGTGACGAACCATCACAAGACGACTATCTCGTCCTCGGTGTGGACGAAGCGGGGCGCGGCCCTGTCCTAGGCCCGATGGTTTACAGTGCCTTCTACTTGCCGCGTCAGCTTCACCATTCCCTTCTTTCTCGAGAATACAGCTTCGATGATAGCAAAGTGCTTACGCCCGGGGTGCGCATGAACCTAATGAGACTGTTGTGCACTCCCGGTAATCCACTTTTTGAGTGTTGCGGATGGGCTACGAAGCTGCTATCAGCACGCGACATCTCATCAGGCATGATGCGACCTGGCGCTGGGTCTTACAATCTCAATGCTCAGGCAATGGATGCTACGGTCGAGATCATCCGAGGCATCATTGAGGAGAGAGGCATGAATGTGGGGGAGGTCTACATTGATACGATTGGAAATCCCGTGACATATCAACATAAGTTGGAGAAACTTTTCCCCTCCTTGAAGATAACAGTGGCCAAGAAGGCTGATTCCTTGTATCCCTGTGTCAGCGCCGCAAGTGTTGTAGCCAAAGTGACAAGGGACATTGCGTTGGAGCTAAGCCACAAAGAGGTCTCAAGAAGATGTGCTACTGAAGAGCCTTCTCGAAAAGCCACCATACAAAGTTGGGGTAGCGGATATCCTTCGGACTCAAAATGTGTCGGCTGGCTTCGAAACAATATGGATCCTATTTTCGGGTGGGGAAACGAATGTCGATTCAGCTGGGGAACTGCGAAGGAGATGTTGGAGTTGAAGGGAGGGTCGAAAGTCGACTGGCCTGCGGAAGAAGACTATTCACTGCTAAAGGACTTCCTCTTAACATCTGCCGGTGCCAACACCAGATTATACCATGAAGTGCGAGAATGGTACGGGTCGAGGTCAACAGACATTCTTCTATGATATATAACATGCAATGCCTCGAATCAGTCGAGGATTATGACGATAATGACAAATTCAATTCCCGATTCACATACATCTTAATACACCCAAAAGAGATCAGGTCCACAAAAAGTTGATTGCAGACCTCAGATGTGGGGGGAAACCAGGTGAGGTCGTGTCAGCAAGGGCAAGCGGATTGCGACCAGTCAGTCACAGAGCTGTCTTGGATGGCAATAAGTAGTAGAAATCTATATTGAATTGCAAGTGCAACTAGAGGGACGAAAGATCACAACGTCACACTTGAGAAATAGTAATTATCCCATAAGTATTCGTAGTCGTCAATGACGCTGCCCACCAGGTCAAGCAGGGGCTTGCCCTTCATCTTCCCAGTCAAACTCCGTAGCCAAGGTCTATGTGCATTAGTATTCTTCCGCCGCTGCAAGGCTAGGTCCGGAACACGCACCTGGTCAAGTTCGTATAGAAAGCCCCCCGCATGGCCCACCAACCCATCGCCCAGCCTCTTTTTCTGAGTTCTTCACGTTCAAGTCCAGTCAGTCCTCTTAGGCCGCCGGCAACTCTTTCTCGAAAGTCAGACTTAGCAAGCTGTCGGCACACATATTCTAGGCTAAATCCAACCAACCAAGGTCTCCAGCTATGCCTGCTTTCACTGTATTTTTGCAACGCTAGCGCGTAGACCACTGGCCGAAGGATATATAAAACTTCAGCTAGTTGTCCTTGGCCAGTAACGCGATGCAATAGAGCCTTAGGGGTTTTAATATCGTCGGCGGTGAGGACCTTGGATATCAGGAAGTGGGAGACATCATTTACTTCTGGCAGCGACGGGAGAGATAAGCCCGTCCGAGGCATTGTCCAGCTCAAATCTGACGGTCGTTCGCTAACGGGCGTTTGCATCCCATTCCAATCGTTGTCCACTTTGTCTAGCGATCTGGGATCAATGTCTCTCTCAGGCAGCGGGGGGGTCACCAATGGCCTGGACTTTGTGAGACGAAGAAGTAATAGACGACAGACCGCCTTGATGGCTTCAATGAAGATGACGACGCGCCAACGGATCTTCTCCCCACGTCGACGGGCAACCATCTCCCAGAGCAGTTCTGTGTACTGGACCATCTGTAATGCGAGTGCAACTTTATGATAGAGCGAAGAGCGAGACGTCCAATATTTAGTATATCGCGTGTGAGGAGTCGGTATCGGCCGCGGGATAGTCGGCGGTAATCTGGAAACAACTCGAGAAACAAGAGCATCGTGATAAAGGGACAGTAGCTGGACTCCGGAATGTACTGACCAAACCACACAAAGTTAGGCGATCAGACAGAATTTGCAGACTGACACTACTAATGCTGGGCAACATACCACACTCCGAACTTATTTCCGAGTCTCGGTATCGCCCTGGAAGACATTAGCTTTTCTCGTCCCCGGGGACTGTAATTGAATAGGGCAGTGGTCCTGACCTGGAATAATATATGTTAAGGATCTCAGCGCCGACTCTATCTGGCTTACGGAGCTAGCGTTCTTGGTTACAAATTCTTCGTACAACAGCAACCATCTTGAAGGTCGTAGCAGGGCAGCAGAGGCGGCACTCTCAGTATCGCATGTAGCGTCCATCTCCACAAAGGGGAGAATCAATAGTACGGATGATGTCGCTAAAGGTTCAGAGCGGCGAACGGAAGCAGTCCGTTTTGGGGTGCAGTCAGGCTCGGCTGGAGAGCTATGCTCACAGGAAAAGATCAGGTTCATCCGCGGAGAACAGTGGGCATCCCCGAGAGATGAGGCACGTGTACCGCGTCTGCCAAGGGATCATACATTAATCACGGCGGCACCGCCCTGCCTGCCGAGGTTCAGCTGAATCCGGGGGTTCTTGGCATTATGGCCTTTGCACAGTGTCTGGCAGGAGAGCTAACACCGATGACGTTTATGATCACACGAATCGCTAAGATACTAGATTTGATATGGACTGAGTATGAACTCCACGATTATCATGTACTACACGTGCTCACTCATCTGCAAATTTCCAAAGACCTCCCGGCCGCATTGCTTCTCTATACCTGTCCTTCACCAGGTCCTTCTCGAGCCTCCTGGCTTCCTGGTGGTCGTGTTCCAATTCTTGCGTGCTAGGCATATCAGTACGCCAAAACCCGGGTGGAGACCCGGCACGTTGATGCTGTTGCTTGTGCTTCCCAAATTCATTAGCTATCAACCTGGCCTTTGCTTCTTGTAAGAGATGATTCCGATCCTCCACACTCAATTCCCTGGACAGATGTTCTTTGTCGCCAACAAATTCTTCGAGGATTTTCTGGTCATTCATTTCGCGCTGCTGACTGGAGCATGTTGCATCTGCTGGAAGGCCACTCATTCGTGCCAAACCTAGAAATTTCTTCCCGCAGCAATCGTAACGGGTGCATCCCTTGACGCACTTCCCTTCGGTCTTTTTGTGAGCCACACTGTGAAATGCATAATCAAAACCTTGATTGAAGTCGGGGTTGATTCTGAAGTCTTTAAGGTCAAGATGTTGAACCGGCCGTGCTCTTATAGCTCCTGCGGGGTGAACTGCAGTGTCCCTTGTAGACAACAGGGAATTATTGACGGATTCGGTTCTTGAAGCTCCACTGTTCGGGGCTATTTGCGGCATTTCTGCTATGTCAAACCCATCGGGGTTGTAAGTTAGTATGGGTGTTTCTTCCATTATTGCGAAAGGATGCTTGAGGGCCCTGTCTGAAACGCCCGAGTTCCTTAGCATTGATTGCAACTCCAACTTGGCAGGTGACTGCCCCTCGAGCAGACCCTGCAGACGCTGATCAGTGGTAGCTTCACTGCCAACACCTGGGGTGAGACCTGAAGCTCCTGCCTCTGATGTTCTGCGCAACTTCCTTGAAGGTGGACTCGAGAAGCTTTCATCGCCGTCTTCTAGGATTGAAGATATGTGGGCATTTGCGGGTGGCCTTTGAGCTTCTTCTTGAGGTTTCTCTGGCGATCGAGCACATCTTCCACCTCCAGGGTTGGCATTGCTGGACTCCAGCATGGCAGGTTGTTTTGGGGAGAAGAGAGATAGTGGCGGAGGCGGACGTGCATCTCGACTATCTTCACTGATTGCTGGGGTAGTTGTTCTCAGAAGAACGCCTCGTACTTCACTATTTCGAACTTTCCTCCTCTTTCTGGGGGTTTCGACAATATTACCCACTTCGTCTAGATCTTGGGTACCCATAACCCTTACCGCAGATGATCGTTTGGGCGACGGTTCTGGAGACAGATCTTCATCTTTGACCAAAGTAGAATCCAATGCCGCATTTCTTACACCTGTGGTCAAGGTCGAACACCGGTTCATGAAGGCTTTAGGGGCATTTTGCGATTTTATAGACTCAGACTCTGCTGCTTTCATCCCCGACGTAGAAACTTGGGCAGTTGGAATAACGTTCTCATTTTCGGACAAACCCGACTGTGTTAGTGTTGATTGTGCTGGTGATAATCGAATCGAGCCGTTGCATTTGCTCCGGTCTCTGTTCTTTGCGTCCCAATGCCCTGCATCACCATTATCAGGATGGTTCGTTCTCAAGGTCTCCGGTGGGGAGATCGCGGTTTCATCCGCAATGTCATGATCATTTAAGCCCGACACTGGTACAGAAATGGTTGGGTTTGTGGCCCGCGACTTTCTCTGGGTATCAATAGAGACCTTTCCAGTACATCTGAACTCAATTGCTGTGCCTTCGAGCACCAAAGTGAATTTATCAAGCTCGAGACACTTTTGCCAGAACTTTAACTTTCCCTTGTATCGTTTGACTTGTTTTCTGAGCTCGCACGAGGCCATAACAAGCTCCTGAGCCTCCCCATATAGGGCTGTATATGCTTCAGTAACGGCTTTGATCTCGTACGGGTTGATACCAGAGACATCATCACCGAAGGCATGGCTGAAGTGCTGTAAGACCTGGTTTGGGGCATATGCTGCTTCAAAGTCACGAAACTTCTTCGTAGAGACTTTATCGTCTTCGGACCCAAAGTCGGTAAGGCGTAGCTCTTCACGTAGGAGAGTGATGGCATCTTTCAGCGAGTCCAACTCTTCCAAAGCCCTACTCCGTTCTTTCTCGGCATTCGTAGCCCTCTGTTCAGCTGTTTGTGCATTCGCATCGCGGTAGGAAATCTCGGCTTCCACATTCCTGATAGCCTCATCGAAGCTGTTCTCTAGTGCTCGAGTGAGAGAAGATCGAAGCGTCCTAATGGCGTCCATCACGAGGACATCATCAATCTGCGAATGAAGGGTTACATGAATGGTGAGATTCTCTGATTTATGCACTGTAGATAACAATAAGACTGGGATAAGCACATCAATTAGTCAACGCGTTGATGTAAAGGGATAGATGGGGAGGAAGTATCTGTCAAGTAGTTTAAGATATGCCTCCGTAATGTTCTATGATCTCTCTGGGTCGCATAAGCTTGACCTTAGTAAGCGCTGATCTCATGTAAGCTATTCAACCAGCTGCGGTACATACGAGTTAGTAATTTGGTTAATTAACTAGCTACCTAACCATGTTCATTCGAAAGGCGTACAGCATGCCGCTTTGGCAATCATGAACCAATTTGTCGATTCCTGAGTTGTTATATTATATTTTTCGCCCCGAATAATTTGCTTGCTTCGTGGCCATTACTGGGTAAATGTCTAAACGACATTACGAAGATGGAGACCCAGCACCCCGTCCCTCAAAACGTGGGCGCCAACCCAATATAATCTCTTTTCTCTCGGATGAATTACTACTCCACATATTATCCTTCTTACCCATCCCGTCTTTGATAGTCTGTCAACGGTACATTTCAGTCTTGCTCAAACCATCTCTGTCAAGACATAAGCTGACGAAGATCTATAATGAAGGTTGTCATGCCGGTTCAAGGCGCTTGCAGAAGACTCGGAAATTTGGAAGCGACATTATTACCACCGTTGGATTCGACCTCGATTAGCAAACGTGAGGCGTACCGTTATCTCCCATCCCGAGGTCAGATATTCTCCCAAGGTGTCAACATGGCTGGATCATGGTCACTTGGCAGATGAAGGAAGGACTCTGAATTGGAAGGGCCAATATCGTCTTAGGCACAACTGGTCTAAAGGAATCTGTCGTGTCTCCGAAGTCGAGTTCTCTCACCCATATGGTCGATCGGCTTTGGTCGCTTTTTGTGCTGGCATTATTTTCACAGTCGACCGGGACTACTGGCTCCGAGCCCAGTCTACCAAGAT